ATTATAGAAATCATTTTACACCGCTAAGTCAAAACAATAGTTACAAATAGTGTACCTAATCCATTTTCATAAAACTAGGTAATGAAAACTAATAAAAATGCCAATAGAGACATCTGAAAAAATCTAATTTCACGTCAATTAAATTGTGAGAAAATGACAATACATTTATGACGCTTTATTGGTTATAGGTAATGTCTATCAAGTAAATATTGTGCAAGACCTACCTAAATATAGGTACAATATATTAATATCCATTAAAATTGTTTTAACATAACTAGAGTAAGTATATTAATAGAGATAACAAATAAATGTTCGTAAGTAAATCATTTGTGATATTTACATTTAATTCAAATTGGCAAAATTGTATTTCAATAAGTTTATTTTGTTAATATGTAATTATTTTGAATTATAGCCATAGAAACATGAAAATCAAAATTCTTAAATAATCAATAATGACAATAGTAAATTCGTATAAAAAACAGTATCGGCATGGTATTGCTCATTCAGTAGGTATATATAATGAATAGATATCTTAGGTATCTTAAATCACACCCAATAACACGAGCAATAAAGACAAACACATATTAAGCACAATAACTATTAGGTATACCCAGATATGTAGTGTTCGTAGAATAATTTAGAGAGTAATCGCAAAAGACAATACTTTATTTATAACATTATAATCATAAACGAAAATAGAACGTTTAGTCAAAGCAATCAAATTGGAGTTGGAAAAAAAAAATATATGTGCCGGTATGCATTAAAAAATTCCAAACCGATACGAATATAACGTACGTACCTTTTACAAGAATCGGTTCGGATTTGACGACAACAGGAATTTTCAATCACTGTGAACAGTTATTCTGATTTCCGGGGAGAGCCGGTATTGATATATCCGTGAAAATCGGAGAGACGAACGGAACGGTCCGACAGGCAAGCACAACGAGAATCAACTGACGACGCCGGAACGGTTGCCGGCGTATATATTAGCGGGAGAATATTCTAGAATCTTCGAGTGTAGCGCGGAAACGGAATATTCGAGAATCTTCTGGTAACCACCGCTTGTCCGACCGAATTGCGTCGCGTCGACTTGAAATAGATCGTTAATCGTTATTTTCCAGTAAAGTCGAAAAACACGTATTAAATATATTTCTCATATCGTGTGCGGCCGAATCGAACAATTCGTTTGCAAATAGATTGAAGCCCATAAAAAATAACGGATTATTTTAGAAATTATGAGACTCTGAAAAACACTCTTCGCATTAGGACCGGAGTAAACCACATTTAATTCTAAATTAACTTGAGGTGCTAAATACACTTACGCTTTCCGGTGTCAAAATGTAATACTATTCGGTGTTTATTNTCAATAATCCGCAATACAATATCAAATAGGAAGACTGATCGATCCGATTCGTGTACACATTTGATCGTAACTGTCTATCCGATATCAAAAATAAAATTGCGATTTCTCAAATTCGGTTTTTATTTATAGTATAGCATTCATACAATTGATATATTTGATTGTATATGATATATTTGATTTTAGTTGTATTAGACTGTTCTCCATGGACTTTTATTTAACCATCACAGATATGTTTGTAACGTATATTACTATGAGAATGCGCCAATAGAACTATTCAAAAACTTATTGAAGCTAAACAATTAAATAAAACAAATTCCACATTATCAAAATTGGTCATTTCTGAAAACTTAATTTCTAATGAATATAATATAAAAAAATTAGTTAGATACTACCTATTGGTAATTAATAATTAATAAATAAAAATACTTGAGTGAGAACTGTGAACCTGATTAATTATTTATTCCATACCTATTCGTGTATACGAACATAAGTGTTATTGCATTACCAAATATTAAGTTCTATTTACGATATTTCACTCATGAATATAATAATATTATGTCTATGATTTTACTATTTGTTTATTGAGTATTTACAATAGTTATATTTCCAGTTTATCGTGCGCATATTTAATATGTAATTTATTTTTAATTCTCTGTTAATGCATTATTTTACGGTTGTTATTTTGTTTTATACAGGTTACATCATGTAATATGATTGTAAAAATATTAAAGATTATTAATTTTAATATCGTAAACAAACGATAACTTACAAACGTATTAAATGATAACAACAAAATGATAAGGCCCGTTGGTCTACTGTTTCATGTGTATATCCCGGAGTTTGATGAAATAGACACACTTGTTCCCCAACTTTTAACTATAGCCGTGCAGTAAACACTGTCTGGTCACGGAAGACGATTAACCTATCCACCCTTTCTTTCATCCTAGATTCCCCAAAAGGTACATAGTGGTTTACAAAAACCACGTACCTAGGTAAGTGTCTATCTACATTCTACATCAAAAAGACCGTTATTAAATTGGGGCTTGAAAAAAAGATTGTACCTAGCGCTATCGTTAGTACTACCGCTAACAACAAGAGTGCGCGCTAAATATCGAAACCACAGATAATGTTAAATATTATTGAATTCGGTGTATGTAATGCCTTTGCAGTTTGCACGGTCCGTTGTCAAAACATTCAAAACGTTAATGTACTAGGTATTTAATAAAAACTATGAAAGTTATTCCGTCGTAGTGTCGCAGTCGATCGTACAATTTTAATTCCCCACTTTTATTACCGTGCCAAATATCATTAATCTGACTTAGTGTCTAATTTTAATGTCCATCTAAAATTTGGCCTACATACATTTTTGATGTTTCTAAGCGTATTAGGGCGTTTGCCCCTTTTGCCCTCCTCTTAGCACTCACAATTTAAAAGGATATTAATCAGAAAAATATTCGTCAGTAAAAAGTAATTCCTAGGAGTATTATTTGAGCGGATTGGAACAAATTTTCAGGAATAATATTTTTATATTTCTAATCATTTTTATAATTATTTTATTAATTTATTGAAAATTATAGATCAACAAAGTAGATAATAGTGTAAATAATAAAAGCTAATTCTAATAGTTTTCTTGTCCGTGAAAACCAAATTGTCATCCATATCACCAAAGTAACCTAAAAATAAAATTCAATTAGCTAATTATCTCATTAGGGGTTGCCGGATTAGTGTTTTAAATATTTCTTCCGTATCACCAAAGTAGCCCATGTGAATTAACTACAAAAAAAAAAAAATAATCAATTAAATTCTTGTACTAAAATTTTTCAAAAACCTCTACTTACCCCCTTATTTCGGGCTAAATTTTCAAAATCCTTTCTTAGCGGATACCCACGTCATAATACGTATTTACGACAGCATAATCCGCTCAGTGGTTTGGGCTAGGCGATGATTAATCAGTCAGTCAGTCAGGACGAGTTATTTCATGTATGTAGAAAACTATGGACGATTAAAAACAAAATAAGTTATCACATTACCTGAACTGTCCTATAGGTAATCACATTTAAAAATTACAAAAAATTAACTTACTAAGATATGTAATTTTCTAATAGTTATGCACAATTCATAAACTGAAAATCGCTCGGAACGCATCAAGTACGTAGTTAACTTACTTTACGTATTATTTTAAATAAAAATTTTTCGACATTAAATGTATTCGTACCTACATCAATAGAAAAATTGTATTACTTGACACTTGTTGAAATAATGTATCATCGTATTGTTACCTAATTTTCTAAACAATATTTCCCAGTGGGATACTGTCCTGTGACAGTTACGGAAATTTCCAACAAAACATTACCCCTACATTGATAATATTATCATTACGGATTGTTATCATTCTTTTAAAATTTTGTTTTCCTTTAAAAATCTATTTCAATAAATATTTTCATGAAGAGTATTGTTCGAGAGAAATTTTTTCCGATTTATATGTTTCCCCATTTTTTAGTGATTAAGATTAAAATATAATAAGCATTTTAGATTCTGAGTGGAGCATTTTTTTTTCCTGTAGATAACTTTTCTACCAGAAATATTTTTTCGATTTACAAGTGCAGTATCTTTTATGAAAGGAAATCGATGTGAAAAAGTACATTAAAGAGGTCATTTTTCGATTTTACCAGGAGTTTTCTCAAAACATGTGAAAACCAATAAACCGTGACAAAAATGTCTACCAGAAATCTTGCCCCGTTATGTGCCTACGTGTAGCATCATATCTGAATGGAAATATTGTCTAGATCAGGGGTCTTCAACCCGAGGTTCGCATTCTGATTACACACTCCTTGTCATTATTTGCAGCCCACTATTATCACATTTGAATTATAGCATATTTTTTTTCTATTTCAATGAAATTAGAACGGCCATAAGCCGTCGCTATTGAAAGAATTGGGAAATATGAGATGAGATAAATTAAATTAAATTACCTACTCTTTTTGCTAGTACTTACACTTGTTAGCATATATTTTTACAAATGACAATTATCAAATCGAAAACTAGAGATCGGTTAACTGACATACNAATATAAAATAAATAATTTGTAATTCAAAATTGAAATATGTTTATCTATTATTATATAAATATTTTTATATTATAATATTAATAAAATACAATCTATCACAATATTGAAAAATATCTATAAAATATAAATGCTGGTTGTTATAGGGAACATCATTTATTTTAATTAATTTTTTGCTAAATACACTAAATTCAATTAATTACCACATATATTATTACATATTATATTATAATATGTTACATACACTATACAGCTATGGATTTTTCTAGAAAAATGTAATAGAAAAACTAAAAGGTTAAGTATCTAAAAATAACCTTTTATTAAATTTGTAAAATGGGCACTGTAAAAGTAATACATTTAGTAATATTAGGGTATATATATATATATATATTTTATACTAAAATTTAAGGTTTCTTAATTTTTTATTTTTAAATTTGTCATTATTATGTTGGAATCATAATGTTATTCATTTTCAATTGAAATGCTAAGGTCTTTCTGTCAAAGTATCTCCAATTTAAAATAGGTACATGATATTAAACAATTTATCACTCGATTCATTGAACTTAAGGCGAGTTAATTTTTGAAATAGCTTGTTTAATTATACATTTCTTTTTTACTCATTATTTTTAAATGAAATAAATTATTTTTTGTAACTCACATAAGTATAGGGTCTTTTTTTGTTTTAACTTTTCGGCCGTTGTTCACCACATCAAGAAAGAGATGATTTAACCACAATAGGTCTGAGGATACAAATTAAAATCATCCATGCATTTGAATATTAACCTGGGATCAAGTTTATATAATTATTTAAAATTTTAAAAAGTACTTTCAAGGTAAGCAACGAGAACAAATAACACACAGTGTTTGAAACTTATTTGAAAGCTATTCCATATTTGTATATTATAAATCTAAATGCATAAGAATAAAGATTACTGTAAACCTAACGAGCAGACACTGAAATAGTATTTATCCTCAACATTGTATTATAGCTATTTGTCATTTAATGAGTTACTACGTTTTGGTACTTAATTGGATATTTTAGGTAATTATAGATTCTGTTAACCTTAATATTGTAACAATTAGCAGGTACATATGTTAAAATTACTAATCAACTTCCTCTTTTTTAGTCATTAAATAAGACACTTGAATTAAAAAAAGATTAAATCATAGATATTTAGTAATAATAAAATGAACAGACTTTAGCAATAACTAAGTTTTATTATTATCATAAATTTACGTTTAAAAATACTTTACAAATTAATAGTTCATACCAGTAAGTATTTTGAAACAATTCAAATATTTTCTTATAATTCTTAACATGTAAATTCAAATTAAAAAAAAAAAAATAAAAATAAATTAAGGAACATAAAAAGTTATTATGTATTGATACAAATAGGAATATACTTAGAAATCATGAACAATGGAAGAAGTGGGAAATTTATCGACCATATATATTAGCTTATTAATTATTTAGTATCCATTTTTTCAATTTCCTTCTTTTCTTTGTTAGACGATACTTTAATACTGGGCTCATTGGTTTGAATAATAGGAATGGATATCTCCTCTTTCTTGTCATTGACAACCTAAATAATTTAACAGAAATAATATGGTTATTACCCGCTGATAATACTACTACATATTATGCATACACTTAATAATTAATATTATGTCTATTAAGAAACATATTACTTAGGGCTATATCCTAACAGTTAAATTATTTTAAACTATACCTTCTTGGGAGCACCAACGCTGAGC